TGGTTTTGAGTTAGTATTATAGTGTTATTGGTGTGGTAGTATGGTGGTGTTATTAATGCAGTGTTAGTGTTATTGTGATATAAATACAGTTGCATTGTGGTGTTATTAGTGTATTAGTATAGTAGTATTATGTTAGTTTAATGGTAGTGTTTCACTGTTTTGCTCGTGATAATCCTACAATCACAATATTGTGGTAGTAAGATGAAATACATTCTAGAAAAATTTTCAATCCATATGGTTAATTTAGCTATCAAGCTTGTCATTGAACAAAGGAAGTAAAAAGTATATGAGGCAATGCTTATCTCGATTACAAATAGTCAAAACCATCAAAAATAAACTTTTGAATGCAACTACAACCACACTTCTGATTTACATGGATGCTTTCTGTTTTCATTTGGTTTTTTCATTCTTCTATATTATTTTGCTTAAAAACTAAAAGAGAGATACATGAGTTTGCATCCTAAACTCTAAACCCTAATGCAAGAGTTTGTTTGAAAAAATCTAAACATCATAATAAGTTACATAGTGAGAGAGAGAGAGAGAGAGAGGGACTATGAATGCTTCTCTTCTGATGACCGATAATGCAAGGGATTTTGATTGAGTGAAACCCTAGCCACCCAAATCACGAGTGAAAACTGCTCTGCATAACCCTACCTGATGGAGATGGTAGAATATGAAGATTGTAGAGGCGCGCGAGGGTTTAGTTATTGAAACATTAGGCTGGTTCGGGTTGGGTCACTAGCCAAAAGACACCTTTCTCATTTTTTTTTCAAATGGGTCTAACACTTTACAGGAGGTGAAATATGATTGGATTTTGGAAGCATAGTTGCGTCTATACTCCTGTTGTAATATTTTTTTTCGTCGTAATAGACCCCTTAATGTTTTACAATAGAAAAAGTCCATAAAAAATTAAATTAAATGTTGTAGTGGTTAGTTGATTTAATTATATGTTAATTATAATAACTTATATAACTATATTTTAATTTATGGTTTTGAGTGTAATTTTGATTTTATTAAATTCAGTTAGTTGTCAGATAAAAAATCATACATCATAAATTCCATTTTTAAATTGATTTAATAATAATTAAGATAAAATTTATCAAATTTATTAAATAGTCATTTTTAGGTGGATCCCAACTAACTAATTAATATGGTCCCCAAAAAATTATCCCAAATGGTTTGCAATAACCAGTTTGATCAGTGGTTAGAGAAAATCTTGGCAAAGAGGAAGATTTTCATCTTTTTAGGTTCAACGCTTCGCCGGGCCCTTTTTTTTTTTTTTTTTTTTTGGTGGGAGGGGAATGAGAGTCTCATCTAGCTTTATTGATGGATGAAAAATCACAAAATCATGAAAAATAATATCACCAAAAGAAACAAAAGAAAAAAACAAATAGGAACAAATAACACTGAAAAACTATCAATTATTCTCAAATAAACCAATAGAATCTGAAGAAGTAAAATCATTTAGGAACAACTGAAGCTCCAATAATCTTTGTAGAAGATAAACATCCCCAGGTAAGCTAAGACATGCCAAAGAAGCAATATATATTTAGTTCAACAATTCATGAATCAGATTAACTATCATAAGCCAACCAATGACAGGAAAACCAGAAAACCTATAAACCACATAAGAAAGAACCAATTAATTAAATAAAGGCCAAACATCACGAGCACAGTATACCAAAGCCACAAAAATATTGGAGATCCTTCCAAGAAATTAGGTTAATACTAGTGCAAATCAAGTAGAATAAATATAGTCTTATCACCAACCACATAATTGAGATCGGCTCAATAGAAAAAACAATAAACTAAAGATAAGTCAAGATATAAAACTTAGAACAGTTGTGTTACAATATAAGGTTGGATAATACCACATCTCAAACCAAAATAAATAAATAAATAAATGGAGTATTTGTTTTAGTCGAAAAAATCCTAAAAGCTGAATTAAATTCCGCTAAACAAAACCAAAAGGTGCAAAATGTGTTCACATAAGTATAATAGTTGTAAAAAGAAAATAAAATTAAAACCCTGTTCTAAAAAGAATAACAAACGATTTGTGGAAATAAAGCTTGAAAATAATATCAAGCAGCTCATTCTTGAATTTTCATTTCTACTTTTAATCCTAATAGCAAAGCGAAATTTATTAGCAAACATTTCAACTTGAATACAAGAATTATCAAAACTTATGCTTCACTAAATTCTAATAAAATGAGCAGCAATATGGACAGCCAAAAGAGGATATTATTAAAACAGTCAGCTTAATTCAAGCCTAAAAAATTTACAGCCCATATGGAAAAACCCACCATTAGGAATACACATCTTCAAAATAGTAAGAGAATAAAGATATTCAAAGTAGAGATGTGAATGAATTTCATTATAAGACCAGCAAAGAACATAAAGGGTTAACATATAAATCTCTATTAGTTAAGATAACTTTAGTTTTTAACCTCTTATAAAGATTTTACAGGCCATAATAGCAAAACTACAAGAATAACCTTTAAACAAAAAGAGCTAATGCCGATTCACTTTAGGATAGTTCTCATAAGAGAAACAATAAACCTTATATTTAACATAATTAGTCTTTTCTTTCCAAAAGAAAGTAGTATAGCTTGCATTTTGGGAGTTTCAGATATATTTTATGCTTGTTTTGATATTATAACGAGAGATTGTTTATAAATACCTGATATATATAACATATAACACACAGACACACACACACAGATATATATATAGGAAAAACTATGCTGCTAGGCATTGTGAAAGTTGTTTTACATTGTAAATATTGCAATTTTAACAAAGATTGTATCATATTATACTGGTTTGCAGTTTCTTTTATTCCTGCTAAAGCCAAAGCTCAAGTGAATTTTAGATAAGCATTGCAACCTTTTATTTGGTTTTTGGGTTCGTTGCTTGTCGACGATGTGTTCGAGGAGCACCACCAATGAAGGAAGTGTGAGTTTTTGAAATATTCTCCATCTACTCAATTGAGTAATGGAGTTAAGCTGACGGTAGTAAGTTCAATAGTAAAAATCTTAGGTTAATGATATGATTAGGTATGAACATAAACTAATTGGGAATTAAATCTAGGGGATAAACAAGTCTAGCAAGCTAGGGGGTATAAGCAAGTCGAGCAGAGCTTGAGTCATGCCTACCTCGAGCTCGACTGGTTTGTCAAAATAAAAGCTCGAGCTTGAGCTCTGTTCACGGCACTAACTGCTGGCTCGCTAGTTGGTTCGCGGGCTCAAATGAAATTACCATGTGAGCTCACCAGAGAAGCAATCTAAGTGATTGATGACTGGAGAGGAGCAATTTCACGATAACTCGCCTGAGAAGGCTTTGACATGATTAAAATCTAGCTAGTTGAGCCAACTCACATGCCAACAAGTAGAGCTTGAGCTCTTTTAATTTCCGAGCTTCAGTTTGAGGTCGAGTTCACCACTCTAAGCTTGACTCAGAAAATCGTTTGCAAGTCAAGAACTAGCTCGGCTCACTTACACCCCTAACAGAGTCACATAAAAATTTTTTATGTGACATTTACATATATATCTCCCAATTCTTATTTATGGACACATCTTTTACCTGCACTTTAGTTTTTACATTTAGACGGCCCAAAATTTTCATATCACATCAAAAAATACTGCCAATTTAATTTTTAGAAGGCGAAATACACCTTTTCATGCATAAGTAAGGTGGTCAGTAGGTGAAAATCGAAGTATATGTGTTAAATATATAAATACATAGGATTTGAGCGGATGTATGTAAATCTTCCAAATTTTGATGCCCCTCTATATTGCTGTATTCAAATACTTGTTCCTTTTCTCATCTATTTTCCGTGTTAAAATAAAATTTTAAATTTATATTTAAACTTACGAATCATCACTGTTAATAGTTGTCTCATAAATTCATCAAACTAGTGCAGTGATAGCTTGATTCTGAACACCTTACCAGAAATTAACTGGCGTTAGAAGATAACGCCAAATGTGAAAGCATCATGACATGTACGCAGAAGTTGTACTTGGGAATAACATTGACAAAACCAGCAATACGTGCAATCTCAAAACACTAAACAATGAGGAAGAGGACAGAAAGACATGACAAAATCTCACTAGAGAAGCTCTCAACATAACCAGCGGCATAAACAATTCCAAAACCCAGGCAATGAAAAAGTGTTGGTTTCCTTACTGTGGCAGAAAAGCACATCACCTTGGTTCTCTCTCTTTTAAATAAGGAAAGATTTATATAAATTGATCGGTTCAACTTTATATTAATATTCAAATGTTCTTTTGAATATTTATATTAATTAGTTCTTTGAAGGAATTTTAATAATTGTGCTCATAAGTTCTGAGCTCAATGTTTTCCTTGTCTCCACATTTTGATTAGGTGGTTATACTTTAACATTCTCTATTTTGATTTTATTTCACTTAGTTTTTCTTTTTGCTCTCTTCTTACTTTGTTTGTTTGTTTGTTTTACAAATGAAAATCTATTTGTTTAATAGACTTTGATTTGAAGATACTTGTAGTGGACATTTTGGATTGCCTATTACTATTCCTGATCTTCTGAAATGCTTTTGTATTTTACAGCTTTTGATTTCTTTGTTTAGTTTTTTGTTCCTTCTTTTAGATGGCAGTTTTTGTTACTTAGTTTGTTTTCTTTATTTCATGTTGTATTGTAGAGATGCTTTTGTTTGTTTTCTCTTTGACTAAAGTTGAGGGTGACTTATTTTCTCAACAAAATTAGAAAGTTATAACTGAATCTTGTTATGGGAAGACATCAATGGCATGATAAAAGATGGAAAATTGAGAGTAGTATTTTTAATTTTACTCAAGAAATTAAGTGTTATTTAAGTAAACATAAAATTTTGAGCGTGAGTTTGAAATACATAACCATGAAATAAAATAATCAAAATATAACGTGAAATATTGACAATGAAATAATGAATGAATGAAAAAAAAAGGATGCAACCAACAGGTCATCAAAAACATTGGCAATAAGGTTAAAATAGAACCAAACAAAAGCAAATTCTAGCTTCCTCCATCAAATTAAAAATGTGAGAAGCAACATAGAAGGTGATTTTAATGCTACAGCATCATGATTTTGTTCACATCACCATGCAATTATAAACGAAATTGAACCAACAAAGGAATGATCACATATGAATATTGGCTTTTTCAGCCTAATTTTAAGCAAACATAACAGACAAAACAAAAGAAAAAAAAAGAGAGTAGCAATCCATTTCTCGTCATTATTTCCCCTTCAGAACATTAAAGATGAGTCTTTGTCAGGATAAATCCCCAGAATAGCTAAGGCGGCGAGCCTGAGAACCGCATCCGCCATGGTAACGGTAGATGATGCCAAGCACGCATTCTGTCATGCAAGATACATCGAAAGCCTCGATGAATCGAAGGTCCGAGATACGTGTTTTCATGCCTGCAAATCGCATGTACTCTTCAAACACTGCAGTCAAGCACCAGCTCTGTAGCTTTCTGAAACAGCCAACGAGGCAACCTGTCCGGTGCTGATTGACCGAGGCTTGGTTAGTCAATAGATAACAATGTCAACAACTCACAAAATAATGTTTTTGTTTTTTTTTTCCTCGACTTACCTTACCACGCTTGCAGTGAATGAGGACAGGATGATTCCTTATATCTGAGACACCCAAACATGGACGGGTTAAGCATGAAGGCTTAAATCAACCTATAATGTAGATTTAAAAATAGAGAAGTACCAAGCAAGACCCTGAGCGCTCCCATGATGGAATCATTAGGTATGCTCATCAAAGACTCCTACAGAATGCAAAAAAAAAAAATGATAATGACAGCATTAAAAAGGGAAAAAGAGAAAAAAATTTATTTAAGAAGAAACTAATGAATTCTCATCATTGATCCAAAAATGTTACAGTAGAAACAATGTTTGTGGTAGACTTATGCATTTAGGATTGTATGGTGGATTGCAGAAAGAACCAGAGCATGAGTTATGAGCATTTGAAGAAAAACATTTCGTTGTTAAAAAAAGGGATATTGGCATAAGCTTCAGTATGCCATGTATGGAAATTATGCATGATGGTGTTTATTCCATAAGCTACATCATAATCATGATAGGTTAAATAACATGCATTTTTATAATAATTATAAAAAGATACATTTCTTATGGGGATTAGATGGTTTCTAGGAACTACTACATGCCCAATACCAATTATTCCTATTATGCTAAAAACACAATCAGAACTAAGTACCTATAATTAGGGCAACCAGAAATCCTGCTAGCACTATGGCTAGAGAAGATCACATCAAATACTGTGCATAACTAGAGGTTGATTCGCGCTAAGAGTACTAAAGATGAGTACTTTATCATTTTAATAAGGGATAATTACATACATAACAACTGAAACATTGCTATTTAAAAAATCTAGCACCCACGTGATATTTTTAGACTACTGAACTGATGTATTTACACCTGCCATGATCAAATCATTGAGAATTTGATAAAAAATGAAATCATTGAAAATTTGATAAAAAATGAAAAATATGTGTTGGGGCTTTATCATGAATTTTGATATTGGAGTGAGAATTCGAAAAATGGATGAAAGCAGATGTTAGACTTGTAAATAGCAATCTTTCGGGTGCTATGCATGTAAACAGCCCTTCTAATAATCATATTCTCTGTTAGAAAATAGAGCTTTTTTTCCATCTAAGTGTTCGTTCTTTTACCACATAAAAGGAGTTATTTAAAGGCATTAAAAAATCAATTAGCTGATACTACTTTAAAACAAAAGGAGATTCTCACAAAATGGTCACACAAAAAGGAATCTTTTTTAAATATGCCAATAAAACTCTTTAAGGATTCCATCAACCCTTGGAGATTTATCAGCCCTAAGAATAATCCGCAGCAAATAAGCAAAAGAAAAGATCAGTGATTACAAAGAAAAAGGTAAATGTTTACTGAAATCTTGTTAATACAGAGTGGAATCCTTTATGTCCTGTGAATTTTACCGCTGGCACTTCGACATCGATCTCTCCACTTGAAATTCTTCAAGAATTTTCAGGAAATATGAAAAGAATCTACTCAAATTAACCTAAAACTGCATCCCAAAGAGTTCTAATGTCTGAATTAACGCATAACACGACGTATTCAGGGGGGAAAGGCCCAATGCAGATCCAGACTGATAAAATATGAATTCGGAGAGAATATTGTGATCAATCATCTTCATCTCTCAATAATCTTACCAATGCTACCCCATGGCCCGATTCAATAAAAAATACTTCAAAACAAGGCACTGTAATAAAAAACGAATCACCTTGCTACCATCAATTCCGAACTGAAAGATTCGGATGCCAACAGATCTCACATATTCAAGCATTTCATTCGGGTACGGCTCCGGGCACAAATACCTGCAACCAAAAGCCACCCCAAAACCCCCTCCCATCGCATAAGAATCCAACAAGCCAAAAACCCAACACCAATCCTCAAAATCCATCTCATTAAAAACCAAAAACCAAAATCTCGAATCCAAAAAAACAAAAGAAAATCGAATCCTTACACAATGGATCGCAGTTTCAGCGTCTCAAGAAATCCAATGTTATTGGTGGTAGGAAATCCAGAGCGGTATATACCCCTGTCAACCACCGCAAAATTGAGCGGTGGGATCAAAACCTCTTCGCCGCCGCCGTTACAGAGTCCGTCGGAAAAGCGTGAAATATCATCTGAATCGTTTCTTCCGACAGGCTTCAGCACTATCCTTTCCTTCACATCCACTTGACCCAACACCAATCCTCAAAATCCATCTCATTAAAAACCAAAAACCAAAATCTCGAATCCAAAAAAACAAAAGAAAATCGAATCCTTACACAATGGATCGCAGTTTCAGCGTCTCAAGAAATCCAATGTTATTGGTGGTAGGAAATCCAGAGCGGTATATACCCCTGTCAACCACCGCAAAATTGAGCGGTGGGATCAAAACCTCTTCGCCGCCGCCGTTACAGAGTCCGTCGGAAAAGCGTGAAATATCATCTGAATCGTTTCTTCCGACAGGCTTCAGCACTAACCTTTCCTTCACATCCACTTGATCGTTCGCCTCCAGAAACATCTCCCAGCTCCTCCCCGAATTCGGTCAAAGAAAAAAAAATAATTGAGAAGAGCAGGACAACTCTCCCCTTTTTTAGTCTCCGCCTGCGTTCCTCGCCATCGAGCCGTCGCACTTTTCGGCCTCCTTTTCTATTTCTGGTGTATCGTTGTCGCTTTTCCTTGGACCGTCAGAAATCCTATCAACTCTCCCCTTTTTTAGTCTCCGCCTGCGTTCCTGGCCATCGAGCCGTCGCAATTTTCGGCCTCCTTTTCTATTTCTGGTATATCGTTGTCCCTTTTCCTTGGACCGTCAGAAATCCTATAAATTTGCAGATTTGGCATTTAATATTACACAATATATGAACAAAAAAAAGGGATTTTTACGTGCACAGCACTCGAATCATTGCTATTTACAAATCTCACATCTTAAATAGTTTACGAAAATAGCACAAAATACCTCCAATTAGCACAGAAGTAACTTCTTGTCAAGCCTTTGTCTCTATTCCGTTGGGCACAACCTTATCCTTCTACAGCAGGTTTCAAGAATGCCAGATGTGGCATTAGTAGTTTTCCAAAACCGCGACGGTCAATTCAAACCCTAAACTTCAGGTTCGAAATTGGGAAGACGATTAAATTCTTCTTTTTTCTCTTATGCGTAAAAATTTCTGCTTAACCAATCGAGCTTTTAATTGTTAGAACTACTAAAGATCTCACGTTTGAAATACGAGCTGGATCTACAGTTTGGTTGAAATTCTAAAATTCAAATACAATCTTATGTGAAACAGAGAGCGGAAGTGCTCACCGATCGGCCATGATGAAAAATTGTTAAGCTTTTAAGAGGCTGTCTGGCAACCACTTTAGGCAAGAATTTAGACGGGATTTAAGCCAAATCTTGTCAGACAATCATTTTGGAAGAAAAAATTCCCGCGCTGCGGTAAATTCGAATAATGTACAAAGTTTCATTGAATTTTTGGCAAAATTGTGAGATGAATTTGCCTAACTTGGACTTTTATATGTTATTGTCTTTTGATTAAACGTGCATGTGAAGCCCACAATCCATCCAAAAATTTTCTTTTATCATCTTTCTATGCTTGCCATGCATTTTTATTTTTTATTGTACATATTTGTGTTTATATTCATTTATTTGTATATATTTGTACACTTTATAGATTTTTTCTTAAATCGATTTGTAATAAGGGTATCCATGGCTAGTTCTTCAATCACACTCTGAAGATGTTATTACTTCCACATTGTCATTTGGTGATGATGATGCTACATATCTTGTCTTTAGCATGAATTATTATGCTAGTATTAGGTGATGGATTTGGAAAGATATTTTGGTGATGATGGAAACAAGATTAATTAATCATCGATAGAAGTTTAGTTTGGACAATAAATGATTATATCAGAGTTGGGCTTGTTCTGAATTAAGGATTAGTGACTTAATTAGATGATTAAATGATAACTTCTACTTAGTTAAGTTAAACAATGAAGTCCACTTGACTTCTATTTCTCGCAAGACTTTTATTTTTCACTTGACTTCTATTTCTCACATATTATAAATTGAATTAAGAGGAGTTCCTCAGTATCTGCTTCCAGCTCAGTGACATTTGTCGCACTTAGGAAACCCAAATATGTTGGAATGTATCAAATTATTTGGGTTTCATCATGAAATGAAAAGATCAAAACAAAAAAGCTGCGAGAATCCTTTAGCGAAGACTAGTATAGTATCTGATAGGGAGTCCACTGTTATGAAAAAATAACGTCAATAAAGTGAAAAATCGAATCAAAAAATTGCAAATCAGAAAATAACACACAGATTTACATGGTTCGGCTAATTTGTCTACGTCCATGGAGCTGCAGATGATTTTAATACTTCGAGAAATTACACTGTCGAGCTCCTCGACGATTATAAGAAAAACTTAATTTCTCTTTCTCTCTTCTTTTCTCTCTCTTAGCTCTCAAGAAGACGACTTAGCACTTATGACAGGCCAAAAGAGGTTATTTAAGGAAAATGGGAGAGAGGTAGGTGGGACGCGGTAGGTGATGTAGGTAAGTCACAGGCTCCATATATTTAACAATTCTCTCACTTGGAGACTGAGACACTGACTGCACCACCTACAGTTTGCATCATTTGTTGGTTGTACCGACTTTGTTATTCAAATATGATATCCTCCACTTTCCTCCACCTCTACAACTCATGGCTCTTGTCTTCACGCTGGAAGACCAATTCAAGTTGAGCACAACTTCAGTTTCTCAAGAGTAGCATCTTAGTCGATATATCAATGTCAACATAGCCTTGTACCTCTAAGCTCTTTCCTGAGTTACTCCTGCATCTGATTACAACTTCCACAGCATAGGTAATATCCTACCTCAGCTGAAAGCCTTTTTTAACAAGTTCAGACCTTCACCTCTTACTGTCATCAAACACAGTCTTCACCCGGTAAACCCACTTGTTGTGTAATGTCCTCTTCGCTGGAAGTTCTGTCAGCTCTCACTTGCTCGAACTTTAATCTTGCAAGATTTCTTCATAGCTCTTTGATTCTCCATCATCTGTCTGTGAAACAATAAGAATGGGTGTCCTGGACCCACTAATCTCTCCCACTCTCCTCTTCACTTCCATCACTGCCCTGCACTGTGACCTCTGGTAGATCAATAAATCTTACTTTTCTACAGTACTAGAGCCTCCAAGAGATGTCACTGGAGAAAGTCCTCACACATATGTGTGTACAAGATCTAGTTTTTCTCCCCTTGACACTCTACCACCTTTCAAGAAACTGACATTGAGCTACCCATAAGGCACCTCTGACGCATGTGTCCACGCCTGAGTAAACCTGTAGTCATATATAGTGTGTCAATTTTCTTACCCCGAGCTAATACTAATGGTACTTTGGTAACCTTTCAGGTGTTATCTGAGAACACTACTGAATGACCACCCTCATTGAGCTGCTCAACATAAATGAGGTTTTTCTTCAACTCACGAACATATTTGATCTTTTGCAAAGTCCATTTGCTCTTGATAGAGAGTGCAACATCAACGTCTCCCATCTCTACCACGTTCAGAGCTTTTTCATTAGATAGATATACCTTCCCAAAGTCACCTGCAATATAATTTCGCATCAACTCCCGGTATGAAAATATATGGAAGGAAGCCCCTGAATCCAGTATTCAGTCATCAACAGAACTGTGAAATGTCAGTAATAGTGCACCCTATATTTATTCAGTTGCAACATTAGCATCATCATTCTTCTTTTTCTTAAGATTTTTACAGTTCATTTTTATGTGGTCAACCTTGCCACAATTCCAGTAGGTTGCTTACTGACCAGAATTTGATTTTGACATTCCTCTGTTTGAGTTCATGTCTTGTGATCTCCCTCTGGAATTAACATTCAATGTCGAACTCGAACCCGAGGTCTAGTCAGAATCTTTCATGCGCACCTCCTCAGCCAAAATCAAATCACGAATAACATTATTTTTCAGTTTAGATTTACCTGCAGAACTGCTTACTGACAACTACCATCCTCATGGCTTCTCAGTTAATTGACAATGAAGACAACAATATCAGCGCACGTGTCTCCTTGTCAAAATCAATTTCAATAAACGACAACTGATTTGTGATAGCGTTAAAATCATTCAAGTGTTGAACAACAAACACACATTCTGTCATTTTCAAGTTGAATAACTTTTTCATCAAGTGCACCTTGTTATTCACTGATGACTTTTTCATACATACCTAATAAAGCCGCCATGAGATTTGCAGTAGTCATTTCCTTGATGAAGTTGTGGGCAATGAATCTTGACAAAGTTAATCGAATATCTTCGAAAACCTGTCGATCCAACAGATTTCATTCCTCCTCGTCCATCTTTTTTGATTTTTTTCCCAGTAACGGAAGATCCATAGAGGTAGTCATTTATCTGCATCCTCCAGTAACCAAAATATGTGCATTGAACTTCTTGATCTCTGATGTCATCACTTCGTCTCCGTCCATCGTTTTCTTTCAGCCTCGAACCAACGCTCTTATACAATTTTTTATGAAAAAACGACGGCAATAAAGTGAAAAACCACATCGAAAAATTATAAACCAGAAAATAACACATAGATTTACGTGCTTCGGCTAATTTGCATATGTCCATGGAGCTTCAGAGAATTTTCTTACTTTGAGAAATTATACCGTCGAGCATCTCGACGTTTACAAGAAAAATTTTCTTTCCCTTTTTGTCTTCCTTTCTCTCTCTTAGCTCTCAAGAGGTCTTGACTTAGCACTTATGACAAGCCAAAAGAGACTATTTAAAGAAAACGGGAGAGAGGTAGAGGTAGGTGGGAGAGAAATAGGTGAGACGCGGTAGGTGAGATAGGTAAGTCACAGACTTCATATATTTAACATCCACCAATGTCATTTATGCATTTAGTAGACAAAGAGGCTTTACCGGTAAGAGTAATTTTAGCTTCTATAATCTTGATATTATTTTTTTTCTAGCAAGTAGAAGTCCGACTTTAAAGTGGCGTAGTATTAATATTCAATCACTTATAGTGTGAAAGCAATTTTCTAATTAAGGGTTTGAAGAAATTTTTACCAAAAAATATGATAAGTCATGGAACAGGTAGCTCACAATGCGATCAAGATGAAGATTTACCCGTACATAGCGGTAATTCAAAGAAGGTCATCAAGGACATCCAAGTGGTTGAAACTACATAATGTCGTCCTGGGGGAGTTGTTGATAGAACAATTTCTCTATGAAAATATTTTGTCTGGCGTGTTAAAGAAAAGTTTATGTTGCGATATAGTCAAAACACTAAATAGATGATTAAACACGTCATATTTCATTCCAGTTGTTATGACAAGATTTAAAAATATGAAAGCCGATTTTAAAATTGTCTTTCAGTTGTCCAACAAAAGTGGTTAAGGATGGGAAGAAGACTTGCACCTTTGGGTAGCAACAAATGAATTATAGGATGAAATACATGTATGTTCAACATTATTATTTAATTGTTAATCCAGTTTAATATATAAAGCTCCAGCATCTATATGAAATATAATTAAATTTCAGGAAAATTCAAAAATGGCTTGTTTTAGAAGAAATCTCCTTCATCAGTACGATATCTTCGAGAAGATTTGTGCCGAGAATATTATTGTTGGTATACGAGGAAAAACAACTCATAATCAACAATTCAGTATGAAAAACAAGTCAAAATACAATGTTTTGTATTTGTACATCAATCTTGAATTACATGCATTTGTTTTGTGCTATCCACTTCCTTCTTTTCTATTGTTAAGAAACATGTCAAGTGCTACATATGATCAATGTAATTTTCCTTCATTCAAATAAGATTTCTTAATGACAAATCTGGCTTGAAGTTGACATTTAAAAAGGAGGAGAAATGAGATTAGAAATTCTGTAAGATTTAAAGTTTACATTTTTTCTGTTTCTAAGAATTTAGACTGATTCCGGCTTAAATTCTGCTCAAATCACTGCTAATAAACTGCCAAGAAATGTTTGTGCTCTATAATTATTTGAATTGAAAGTTTTAGAAGCAAACATAAAGAGAATTGTTATTCTTCACTGAACCAGTCGGGACAAGGTATGTGATACTCTTCAATTGATTATCTTATGCATAATGGAAATACAAAGAAATTTGGTGGTTTGTAAGTAAATTCCCAAGTTAAAATAGTGGTTTTTTTATGCCACATGAACAAAAAAAAGGTTGTCAT